GGATGGGATGGGATGGGATGGGATGGGATGGGATGGGATGGGATGGGATGGGGATGAGGATGAGGATGGTGACGGAAATGGGATAGCATGGAGATGGGGATGGGATGGGGGTGGGAATGGGATGGGATTGGGGTTGGGGTGGGGATGGGGTGGAGTTGGGATGGGATTGGAATGGAACAAGAATGGGGACAGGGATGGGGATGGGGATTGGATGGGGATGAGGATGGAATGGGATTGGGATTGGGCTGGGGATGGGGAACTGAGCTGCGTGTTGCTCCCTGCAGGAAGTCCCCCGTCACAGTGAAGAAGGAGGAGGAGAAGAAGCCCCACATCAAGAAGCCGCTCAATGCCTTCATGTTGTACATGAAGGAGATGAGGGCCAAGGTGGTGGCTGAGTGCACGCTGAAGGAGAGTGCGGCCATCAACCAGATCCTGGGCCGGCGGGTACGCGTCTCCCTCGCGCCTTCAGCTGCCTGCACACCGCTGTGGCGGCGCTGGGGACCTGCTGGCGGTGCTGCCCTGTGTCCCCGGGCTCCGCAGCACTCTTTCCCCTCGCAGTGGCACTCGCTGTCGCGGGAGGAGCAGGCCAAGTACTACGAGCTGGCACGGAAGGAGCGGCAGCTGCACTCGCAGCTCTACCCCACGTGGTCAGCCCGCGACAACTACGTGAGTGTGACCCACGTCCCCAGAAGTCTGGTGGGGCTGGGGGCTGACGTTGGTGGGGCAGAGGACCTGGGGATGCTGTGCTGCTGGCTCATGTCACCTGCCCTGTGTCACCATGACCCCAGTGTCACCATGAGCCTCTGTTCACTGTGATCCCATGTCACTGTGACCCCAGTGTCACCATGAGCCTCTGTTCACTGTGATCCCATGTCACTGTGACCCCAGCGTCACTGTGATCAGCCCAGTGTCACCGTGATGCCATGTCACCACATCCCCTGTGTCCCGTGTCACCGTGATCTCAGTGTCACTGCAACCCGCTCTGTCACCACGATACCCCGTGTCACCGTGAGCCTTGATGTCACTGTGATCCCCAGTGTCACTACAGCCCTAGTGTCACCACGATCCTAGTGTCACTGTGATCCCAGTGTCACCACGACCCCAGCATTGCAGTGCGCCATGACACCGCATCCCCGCCCCTCACGTTTTGTCCCTCCATCGCACCTCAGTGCTTTGCAATATTTCACAGGGCAAGAAAAAGAAGAGGAAGCGAGAGAAGCTGGCCCAGCAGCAAAGCCACGAGGCAGACAGTGAGTACCCGGGCGGGAAGGGGCCACCACGTCCCCCCCCACCCCCACCCTCAGCGCCCACCCCGCACCCCGCAGGCGCGCTGCCCTCCAGGAGCAAGAAGCCGTGCGCCCCGCACCACCTGCCTCCCGACAAACCCTGCGACAGCCCGGCCTCATCCCACGGCAGCATGCTGGATTCCCCTGCTACGCCGTCGGCCGCCCTGGCCTCGCCGGCTGCGCCCGCCGCCACGCACTCGGAGCAGGCGCAGCCGCTGTCGCTCACCACCAAGCCGGAGGCCAGGGCTCAGCTCGCCTTCCTCTCCAGCAAATCCTCCTCCTCCTCCTCCTCCTCCCTGGGCTCCCCCCCGTCGCTGCTCCCCAGGCCCATCGCCTTCCCCTCGCTGCTGCTCTCCTCCCCGCCGGCCCCGCAGCAGACGCAGCCGCTTGCGCTGGTCACCAAACCGGCCGACTGAGGGGGGTTGAAGAGGAGCCCCCCGCCTGCTGAGCGCCACCGACGCCACAATCACGATTCCCGACGCAGCCAAACCATTATTGGTCAATATTTGACCTTTTCTGAACTGTTTTTTTTTTTGGTGGGTTTTTTATTTTTTATTTTTCCTCTTTTGGGAAGCAGACTCTGGAAGAAGAGCCGCTTTCCCTTACCAGCAGTCGACCTGAAGACTGTTTTGATTAAAAAAGAAAAAAAAAGGGGGAAAAGAAGGGTTTTTTTTTTTTAATTTTTTTTTTTAAAAAAAAAAAAAAAAAAAAAAAAAAAAAAAGGACCCTTCCTCAAGGGTCCTCAAGGGAGAGTGCTGAGCATCCAGCGCCGGTGCCCCCAATGCTCCCAGTGCCCCCAGTTCCATCCCACTGCAGCTGGACGTGGCCCCCAGCGCGGTGCTGGGCTGGGGGCTGTGGGGTGGGGATGGGGGTGGAGGGCTTTGCCGTCAAATCCCTGTTATTTTTCACAAAAACAAAACAAAGAAAGAAAAAAAGGAAATAAAACCACAGCTGCAACTTCGCTGCGTGAGCGTGGTGCGTGCAGGAAGACGCAGATTGGTGGAGCTCTGCTTTCCTCTGCTGTCCTCTGCAAATCACTGCTGCTGATATCAGCCTGGAGCCCCCGCGGCTCCCACAGAGCCAAAACACTGCTTTTTTTTTGGTCAGAAAAACCAAAAATCCGCAGTCCTGTGAGGGAATGCAGCCGTGCTCAGCCGACACTGGGAGCGGGATGCGGCCAGCAGCCTTGAATGGGATTTCATGGGAAATTAAAGGCATGAAGAGACCTGTCACAAGAATTAAAGTCTGGACCGCGGCCAGACAGCTTCAAACAGATGTTGGACTTCAGCAGGAGAATATTTCTTTGTTTCACTTGGAGTTTTCCCATACGGAGAAGGAACATCTGTTGGGTGCTCTCCGGGTTCGGAGACCCTCCTGCTGCAGGGGAGAGGCACACGGAGCTGCTGCTCGTGGGGCTGCATGAAGGCATCGAGTACTGCACGGCCACACGGCATCCTGCACGGCCACATTCAGCCCTGCACAGGGCTCTGTGGCTGGGGCAGCAGCACACGTCCCCCCCGTCCCCGTGCCACCAGGCAGCTGCCATCTCCCTTTGGATGACATCTCGCTGTGCTCCGCTGGCACACAGCACCCGGAACTCATTTTTCTTTGGGTCACCCCATCCCTTGTCCTTATTGCGGCCGTCAAACAGCCCCCCGGCACGTCGCGTCTCCCCCACCCTCCCAGAGCAGCGCTGGCCATTAATTGAAATGCCTAATGAGGTCCCGGGGGTCTCCTGCGGACACGGAGCTAATTAGGGGCTCCCCGGGACCGTTCCTTGCGGGGGGTCGCGCCAGATGTCGTCCTGCCGCTCCGTACCGCGCTGAGCCGTACCGAAGCAGCCGGGAGCAGAGGTTACAGCTCATACATTTTAATTAGCGTCGTTCACTTCTCCCATTTGCTAATGGCTTTGATCCCGTATCCCGCCCAGATCAGCGGACCTCGGGGCGCAGCGGCGGGGCCACGGGATGGGAGGAGAGGGGGTCCGCTGGCCGTGCTCCGAAGGGGTCGTAGCCAAGAAGCGACGCCCCTCGAGCAGAAGGGCACCGCGAGGCCCCGCACCGCCGGCTCTTCTCCCAAACCCCCACTCTGACCCCAAAGCGCAGCCACACAGTTCTGCGCCTGCGCGCGGCCCTCCCGCCAAGCACCGACGTCTGATTTGCATAGCCGAGCCCCTGATCTGCAAGCCCCGCCTCCTTCATAGAATTCCCGCCCCCTGGTGGGGCGCGGCCCACGTGCGCGACCTCCTGCCGGAAGTTACGTTTCCTAGCGGAACCGGAAGCGGAAGCAGGCCGTAGCCGGGTGAGAGGAGAGGGGTCGGCATGGCGCTGCGGCTGCTCTCGCTTTTGCTGCTGCTGCTGCTGCTGCTTGGCATCGCTGCCGAGACCACAAACCGGGATGGTGTCGCGACCGGGACCGCAGGTAGCGCGGGGTGCCCGGGGTACTGGGGGGAACCGGGAGCGGCTGGGGGTCCGACTGCCGTGGGTTTTACGCCGGCGCTGGGTCTGCGGGGGGGTCTGGGCGCCTCCTGAGCGCGGTGGGAGGTGGTGCAGGGCTGGGGGCGGTCCCCGGAGGACGCCGTGCCGCCGGGTTTCCCCCGTTTAGGCTCTGCCCTTCCAGCCCCCTTATGGGAGACTGTAGGCTGCTTTTGGCGGAGGTGGGCTGTGGTGGCCGGGAGCTGCTTAGCGCAGCCACACGCGCTTCTGGCACTGACTGCGGGCGCAGGTGGCAACTGTGGTCCCGGTGTGTTTGCTGACAGGTGTTGAGCAGGGATCAGAGAACTCAAAGTCCACCAAGCCTTCAAGCGCTGGAGAAGACAGCAATGCACGTAATGGAGATAATGGAGGGGCAACGGGTGAGAAAGGAGGTGCAGGTGATACAGATCAAAGCAAAGTTCTGAGAAAGGAGGAGGAGAACCGGCACAAAGAGACAGGGGAACAAGATGAGAAAGGGAAACAAGGCACTCAGGGCCAAGACACCAGCCAGAGCAGCAACAACGATAATAATCCATCTGGCAGTAACACTGCTAGCCAACCCAACACCCAGAACAGCAACAGCCAAACTGACACCCATGATGGTGCCCACGAGCAAAACACCTCCAACAACAACCGTCAGGACAGCAAGACAGGCAGCCAAGGCAATCCGACCAAGCAAAATGGCAACACTGCTGGCCAAAATGGCCAGAAGGAGCATAGTGACAGCACCAACAGCCAGACCAATGAACACCAGGACAGCACCAACAACCAGAATAATGAACACCAGGACAGCACCAACAACCAGAATAATGAACACCAGGACAACACCAACAGCCAGA